CTTGGAGATGCTGCTGGACCTCTGCTATGTTTGGCAGAAGACTATGACCAGGGGCACCTGTACAACCATCCACAGGCCATCCAAGGCACCCAAGAGCCCTCCCAGCAAGGGAATGAGTCAAAGGGTTTCCTGACAAGCTGGTCTGCCACATAGAGTGGAGCAGCTGCCAGTCCCCCCCAAAAGAAAACACTGACAAGACCTGTTCTCTGCTGAGGGAGGAACAGACAAAGGACTGAGATTACAGCCCACTGTAGGGCTGACAACATCTTCCCTCCGCCCCGACATTTCACTCAGGAAATTTTCCTGGGATCTTTCTCCATGGCATATCGGGCCATGGTGCTGGGAGGCTGTGGTACATGCTGCCCCTGCATGAACCCAGTGCTGGGCTTGAGTGCAGGAGGTGCCATTGCTGTGGTGGCACTCGGCCCCAAGCAGGGTGAACATGGGATCAGGTTTTGGTTCCTTGCCCTTGCTTCCCTGTCAGTGCATGGTTGCCTTTAAGTCAAACCTCCAAAAGCAAGGTATCAGTTAGGGTTCTGAAATGGGACAGGTCAGCCACAGAATATGGACTTTGCTCTCCTCCTTGGGTGTTAGTGCTAAGTGCTCAGCCTGTAGTGCTAAGTGCCCTTTGTGCTTTTCCCATCACCAAAGTGCCTTGTCACTTGCTCCAGGTCTGAGTGACAGGGAGCTCTAAGGCAGAGTCCCATGCTGCACGCCCTGACTACTGAGTTGTAAGATGTCCTGGTTGAGGTTTTTGTAGGGTGGGGGGCTGTGATTGGTTACTTGGCTGCCCCTGCAGAGGGAGGTGATTGGTTGTATCTGTAGTAGGCATCCTGAGCTCCTCCGGGCCTAATGGACATGGCTGCAGCTGGGGAAGGGGGGGATTTGATTTTTCAGTTCAGTTAGTGCCTATAGGATACACCATGTTTTTTGTTGATGTAATTTTCTGCCTCTGAAAGGAGGCATTCCCAGGCTGAAAGGGCTCAGGGTGCCAACTAACTCTGGCCACGTTCCCAAAGCTGCCTACAACCATACTGGTGCAAGGTGCCACTGGACTGCCTTGGGCCGGGGGGCCGGGGGGGGGGGGGGGTACGACCGTGCCTGAAAGCCACGGAGTGGCACTGGGGGCCTGTACCATTGTAACTGTCCCTTATGCCAGTTTGTCTTGGAGATATGCTATTGCAAAGGTCAGTTGGCTCCCTGAGCCCCCCCCCCCCCCCGGGATTGCACTGTTAAGTTGTCCTAATGAACAAATATACTTTGATTATACAAATTTTCGTGCCATTCACAACCTACTGTTTTATGTACCTTGGTCCCACCTGAAGCAGTGTGTTCATTCCAAGAGGGAAATCTTGTTTACTGCTCAAGATGATCAATTCCAGCAGTTGCATTGAGACTTAAATCTCTTCTGCAAAAAAATTCAATTGTTGCTGAATAATATTGCCACACTTTCACAACTCCCACCACCCTGCACTTCTTCCAGCTTGTTAATTACTTGCCCAGCTCTCACTTGCTGAGAACTTCTAGAACCAGCAGTTGTAACTGGAACATTGTTTAGCCCATGCTCATCATGCAGGAATTTTTACAGGTGGGTCTAAGTTCTGGGACCACATGGAAGCAGCATATGCTTATGGGCACCAGATGGTAGCAAGAAAACTTTTGGCTGAATCATCTGTATTTATTATCAAACAATATCATTAGCTGTTGTAGATTTTCCGGGCTGTATGGCTGTGGTCTTGACATTGTAGGTCCTGACGTTTCGCCAGCAGCTGTGACTGGCATCCTCAGAGGTATAACATAGAAAGATGGAATACTCTCTGTGTCAAGTACTCCATCTTTCTGTGTTATACCTCTGAGGATGCCGGTCACAGCTGCTGGCGAAACGTCAGATCCTACAATGCCAAGACCATGGCCATAGAGCCCAGAAAATCTACAACAACTAATGAACTCCAGCCGTGAAAGCCTTCGACAACAAATCTCATTAGCTTTGAACTCTGCCATGTTCCTGGGCCTAGACAAGCATATAATACACACACATGGACTCCCATCCTTCAGTGTCAGCCTTGGATTTATTTGGCTTCAGTCTGCACCCACTGTTTTCTGTCATCTACTTCCAGTTGTTCCCCTCACCTAAGAGTGCACCACATATGACATTCTGAGCTTGAGCTGCCCAGTGCACTGTCCTTCCTGGCAGACTGCAAGGTGGCATGCAGAAGAAACGGCTTTGCAGTCAGACTTGGATAAAACATGGTATGAGGCAGGAGAGAACATGTGCACCTCCTCTACTGTTCCCTCCTCCCAATCTTTCATGTGAGGCAAACTGCAGAGCAAACGTCTCTACCAGCTGTGCTTGGATGGATCCTGAGTGAGATGTGGGAGAAAAGAAGCACATTGACTCAACTGCTGCCCACCCAGGATCCATCGTTGCAGGGAAGGCTATAGAGTCACTTGCTCTCCCGCTTACCTTGCATGGAAGATCATGGGTGCAGAGCAGGGACTTGCCCTCTCTGCTGGTACCCACCTTCTTTTATGGTACTTCCCAGTGGGCTTGATGTCCCAATAGGCGGCTTGCCTTGCTTGGGCAGTGAACCTGCACCGAGCCATAGCTTGAATGGCTCCCCCTGTCCTTGCTGCCTCTGCTGCACCCGAGCAGCAGTAGCATTTGTGGGAGAAAGTTCCTCCTCTTTATCCCTTCCCCTCCCCTTCCATGATGTTGCCACTGGAAGCTAAGGCAGGCGATAGATAGAGGATTTTTTATATGAAAAAACTTCACTGTGTCCCAAGACAAAAGTATGCTAATTCAGACCTCATTCCACCCCCCACCCCACCCCACCCCGGTCCCTGAGTTGTTCTCAGTTTTTACTTTCCCCAGGAGTTTGTGTTACTCCCACAGCCAAAAGGCCATACCCTAGATGCTGAGACCACTCTCATTCTATCTGGATAACAACTAATGGCTTCTATAGGAAGGGACCCTGGCTCAGTGGTAGACTATCTGCTTTCCATGCAGAAAGTACTATGTTTACTATGTTTGATCCCTAGCATCTGCAGTTTTAAAGGAGCAAGTAGTATGTGAGGTGAAAGAAGTCTGCTGGAAATCCTTGAAAGCTGCTGCTTCTCAAAGTAGATGAAATGGCCTTGATAGACCAATGGTCTGACTTGGCATTAGGTAGTTTTATGTTTTCAACAATAGTCTATTATAGTGGCCCTCAAAAGGGCAAAAAAATTCTTGCCCTGAAGACTTGAGGTGGCTTCTGCCATGCTATGTTATCAGCTGTCAAAATAACTGCTTCCACAAACTTTTTGGGAGCACAGTCGTGACTTCCTTAGAATTCTTCAAAGGCAGAGTGGCTGCCCCTGAGCCACAGTCTCTTCCTGCATCTCATGTTATGCTCCTGTGCATTCAAGCACAATAGGATGCCAGCTTCGGCCAGGCTTTTCTGCAAACCATCTTCTCCTCAGGAGACACCGGAGTCCACCTGTAGGTAAAGTTATTTTCTAATAAGTGTCTAGTTGTTAAGGAGCACCATGTGATAACTGAGATAAGCTGCTTAAGGGAAAACTATATGAAGTGATCTGGACTGAGAGGGGGAGATAAAGCATGAATGATTAGAAAGAACAGCTAGATTTGAGTCCAGTAGCACCTTAGAGACCAACAAGATTTTAGGGGTATAAGCTTTCAAGAGGGAAACTTCTCTGGCAAAGGGAGCTTTGGCTCTTGAAAGCTTATTTGTACCTCCCAGAAAATCTTGTTGGTCTCTAAGGTGCTGCTGGATTCAAATCTAGCTGTTTTACTGCAGACCAGCATGGTGTCACGGGCTGGGCTTGGGATGAGAGGCAGAAGTCAAGTCTGGTCTGAGGTCGTTGCCAGGAGAGTCAGAGTGAGAGCCAAATCAGGAGTCCGAAAGAGGGGTCGTCCAAAGCAGGGGTCAGGGAGCCAGGAATCCGAGCCAGAGTGGGGGTCTGAGGACAGGAGCCGAAGGTGGATGCGAGGCATGCACGGAGGCAACTCGTTGCTTCCACGAGAGCCAAAGCCTGAGTGGGAGTTATATAGGCCTCCTGCTGGGCTTCCCGTGGTGGCAGCGGTGCTCCTGCTAATACTCAGGACTCAGTGCTCGCCTTCCCTGCCAGTGTGCATCTTGACAGTGGGTGGCTAAGTCTCTGCGGAGCTGCTCCGTTAGCTGAACCACCCCCGGAGGTGTGTCAGGCGGGCTCCCCAATTGCACCTGTGTCTCCTCCGTTGCTGCAGAACCAGGTGCGGGGTTTACAGGCTCAGGAGCTGGCAAGCTGTCCACTCGTGAGGAGTCAGAGGGGCCAGCTTCTGGTTCTGGGAATGCCAGCGCCTCTGGTCATGATGCCAACTCAGGCGGGGACTCAGTGCCATCATCATCGCTCATGACACATGGCTACCCTCTGAAACTGTTAGAAAGAAGACATGGACCAAAGAGAGGGTGCCCTGAAATCTTTGCCATTATTCTTTGTATGTATGCTCACATTCTTGTAAATAAATATTTTAAATTTGCCTTTCTTGAATCCAGTAGTTTAACGTTGGAATACTTGCTAGATCAGAAACATTTTCCTTTTTTGTTAGTGAGGTTTAAACAGAAATGGGCAAGATAATCAGGTCTCCTTCTTTTAAAAAGGGCCCTTACATCTGACAGTTACACCTCATGCAGCAAGTATCAATAGCCTGATATCCTCCTAAAGGGAAGGTGTTTTAAGCAGCAATTTTTGGCCTACTGCTCTAGAACTTCCTGGAATTGTTTCTGTGCCGGTGTAGAATTCCCATATATGTGACTACACAGATGAATATTTGAACATCAGTTAAGGTAAACAACCTGTTTTTACTTAAAACCATGCCTATAGCAGACTTTCTTAAATGCTAAACATCTTTGAGCCATATGTTATCATTACATTTCATGTTTAAACAATGATGCTGGTTGATCAAGTACCACAAAGCTACAACTGAACCCTCTTGGATGTCTGTTTTTTCCTCCTTCCAGTTAGCTAGACGAGGAATGAAAGTGGTTCTTATCAGCAGATCTCAGGAGAAACTGGATCAGGTTGCCAGTGAAATAAGTGAGTGATTTTCTTTATATTTCTAGATAAGGGAAAATTAAAGAAGATAGCTGATGTTAATTGTTTAAAATGCTGATTATTCATATTCCATTTTAACCACTTACACCGAGCCACAAAACTGTAAAATCAGTGTTAACACTGAATATGAAATAACTGGGAAACCTACCACAGCTTGATAACTGACCACTTAGAGTCTATGGATTCTTTCCTTTCCAGATCTAAAAGTGAATCTGGCCACTTGAAACATATTAAATGTCTTGCAGTCAGTAAGAATTTGATATGCTCCCATGACATGAGTTGATAATTACCTGAGTAGCTTCTTTCCTGGCAAATCTTAGATGAGGGCAGCACAATAAATAGTGACAAATCTATGCCACAGAAATGGAAGTGCATGCATAAGCATTGCTCTTGCAAATAATTTCTTATATTTACTCTCCTAAGAACTGGGTTGGCATAGTTTGAGAATATAGGATCAAATACCCTATAGGAGAAAGGGTAGTAATAAGCAAATCTTCAAGTCGTGTTGGCTTGTGCATTTCTTCAGAATTTTATATGGGATGATTTGAAAGCAGAGTACAACTGTCTGGCCTTGATGTTCGGTATATGAGAACTGTTTCATTTTAAATGTTGTTCTTAAGTTTTTATTTCACCAAGAATGGTGAGTATTGTCCAGGTGTTCTAATGAATGATATTTAGTTGTGCTAGGTGAAATAAATCAAGATTTAATACATACATGGAAACAGTCATACTTCTATATTTGAGTCCTCATTGTGTTTGATTGTAAAACTTTTCAAAATAAATTTCTTGAAACTTTGCTAGATTTGACTGTTTCTTTTAGGCTTCTTTTCACCTGGTTTGCCTTAGGGCCCATTTTTTATAGCCAGAATGTATATTTGTAAAAATTAGGGTATAGTGTATGTGTCAACAGACAGTTACATTGTATGGCCTTTTGTCTGGGCAGTCATAAAAAGAGACACTGTTGCTGCAGTACACTGAAATAGCCCAAGGCAGGCTTGAATTAGGCTGAGAAAATTTTGAAGACTGACATTCTCTGTTCATAAGTAACAGTTGGAAAAAATAGGATTATAGCCAACACTTGTTCTGTTCTTGAGTTTTTTCTCAGCCCCACCCCCTGTCCCACTGTTAATCTCCACATTGTGGGGTGGTGGGGTTGAACCCCTACAGCAGTGTTTTGAAAGTCTCAGTGGACTGTATTTGGAGGTTAGCAGTCTTAATTTGGCAAACTATTCATACTAGTAATCATAAGAATATAAATACAGGCTCATTCTTAAGCATGTTTGTCAGTGGAAGAGGGCAGTTGGCAGAACCACTATCACCCCATCATGAGAGGAAGTGCTTCTGCTCATGCAAATGTTCCATCGTGAGTTGCCTGTACATGCGTTCTATTTAATTCCTTCATACCAGTTTAAGAATTACAGCCAGTATATTAAATTTGAACCTAGGTTCAAATGCCATGCCATTTAATTTCATTTCTAAATCTTTAATTGTTCAAATCAGTTGCTCTCCATAAAAATGCATCTGTAATCGAATAACTGTAAAAGTACTATGTAATAAGCACTTTTAGTATTAGATTGGGCATGAGCTTCAGTCCCGGGAATGTAATTGGCAGGCAACTGACATGCTAGCTGGTTCATGTCAGGCTTAGTTTATTTTTTAAGAATCTGACTTTCCACCAGGAAATATTTTACAGTAATTGCTTTGCAAGTTGCATAGTAAGGTTAAATATCAGCATTAAAATTAAACATCAAAATTACACACATTATTTGAATAACAGATCTGTGAGTAATTTTTGGAACTAACAGGATTTACTCTGATTGAAATCTCTGTTAGTGATAATAGCAACTTCATCTCAAGACATAATTTTTGTTGTTCTTTTTTGGGTGGAATTGTTTGCTATTAAAAATGTTTGGCTCGCCACTTCCTCTGCCAATTTCTGATAAAGATGGTCCTGCCTATCCATATTTTCACAAGTAGTATTTTATTCTGACTGTATCCTACGTAACTTTTCTCCTTTTCCCACTTTAACAGCAGCTTCCCATTCTGTGTTGTAACCACTTTTGAACCTTGTCTAGATGTTCTGAAATTCAAAAATTATTCGTCAGGGCTCTTATATGTACATGAAGCTGCCTTATACTGAATCAGACTATTGGTCTATGGGAGTCAATATTGTCTGTTCAGAGTGGCAGCATCTCTCAGATAGAAATTTTAATTTTTCACATTGCCTACTGCCTGAACCTTTTGGTTAGAGATGCCAAAGGTTGAACTTGGAACCTTCTGCATATCAAACAAATGCTCTGTCACTGAGCCATGGTCCCTCTGTTGCTGGCAATCAAAAGAATCAAATGATTTTTTTGGTACTGTGATGTAACTATGTGGCTTTATGGGTTGTAACCATGTTTGGCGGACTGAAAATTATATTTCTGATTGAAGGTTTAACAGGGTAAATGTACTTTACTGATTGTACTCTCTGCTGACTTAGAGTACTGTTTGAAGCAAAGTTTTGGGATAGCTCTTAATTCCTATGTGAAATTGTCTTATTTTCTGCATCAGTTTCAAGCTCCTGTTCTGAATGTCTGCATCTTTGTATCTTATCTGTCGCTTTTCATTTGTTATGCTTGTTGTCCTTCTTTGCTATTGAATTCTGTTCCCTTGTCCCCCACTGTCCCTCATACATCATACCTTGCACCATACTTTTTTAAAAATGGCAGCTAGCTCCTTTCCTAGAAATCCCTTGTCAATAGCTGCTTCTTCTACACATGCTTTATGGAATTCTAATAACTGCGTTCAGTTTTTAGAACTTTCTGCTAGTAGTTAGGTGAAATAAGTGATTAAATTACTTTCTTTTAGCCCTTTTGTATTCTCTTTTTGGTCAAGACTTCGGTCATATAGACCCGTAATAAATTGAAATTGAAAATTACTTTCAACACATAATAAAGATTTTTCAGTTGAGTTGGGGAATTTTATATAAGCATTGATAGCTATGTATTACGTTTTGAGATGGCCTTCCTTGAACAGATGTGGGACTGGAGAGCCACAGAGTTACTAAATGGATATAGATAAATTTATAAAGGATCACTTACTTCCTAATATGAAGTCATCCTGTTGTGTCAGTAAGATCTCTGCTTGCCCTCCCAATAAAGATCTGGATGACATGGTAATCTAATGAACATTACACTTCTATGACTGGAGAGGTATTGAAGTAGGTGTTGGCTAGAAGCTGAGGAAAATTCCAGGTAGCCTCAGTGGATAAATTTTACTTCACCTTTAGAACTAACTCATAGAATGGATTGTCTTGCAGATAACTTTTCCTAGTGATGGAAGGGGGAAGGGTAAAATACCTTCTAGTTTGTGCGTTTCCTAAACTGCTTGAACTATTCAGAGCAATGGTGTGCAATTCTTTATAAAATATAAACATTTTTTTGTATAATGAAAGACATTAAAGGGCTTTAACATCTCACTAATGAAGCATCATTAAAGAGCTCCTGTTGTAGCGTATTTTTCCCCATCTGTTTTTATATTGTTATGGCTATTAATGGTAATAGTTCTCTCATTATAGTATGTTTACCCTCTTTTGACTGGGATCCTAAACTATGTTCTGATCATGCTTTCTTTGTTGCAGAGGTAGTTCATAGTGATGAGTTTGGTTATGTCAGTTCATCTCCTAATGATCAGTTAACCCAGCATACTTGATTGCACTATTTTTATGCACACAGTGTTTGGGGCTGCTGACATTCAGAAAAATACAGTCTCCCACTTTTCTCCCTTGTCCTCTGCCCAAAGTGTACTTGTTTTATAGTTTAGGATGTGCTTAGCAGCTCTAAGATTTGTTTGCTTCAATTGAAAATACTTTACATTTAACAAAAATACAAGACAGAATTGAAAAAACAGAGCAGAAGTATGGGACAAAGGGTCAGTTGTACTTTGATTAGTATCTATAACATATGAGCATATATCCAACCACATAGTTGTGATGAAGCGGGTAAATCTTGCTCTGCAAAATCTGCAGATGGTTGGATACAGGCTGCTGTTCACAATATGGTCCACTTTGACCATTTCAATAGGTGGTGCTTAATGTATGTGAATGTGTTATACTTTTTGATACCTTATTTTAAAGATCTTGTTACCAATTGGCAGTAATAATTCCTGAAAATGCTAAATAACAGGTTTTTAAATGTAATGATTAATAGTCTGATGCATCTAGCCTTAGAACTGAGTTTGGCAATCCACTATGTGGTGCAATCCATGCAGGAACCTCTGGGCAGGTGTCTGCCTTTCAACAAGGCTAAAAATAGCATTCATTATCATAAGCACGAGGAACACACGCAGACATGAGCAGCATCACGACAATCTTGTGGGAGAACTTTGAAGTGAACACAGTGCCAAATTATTCAAACCGATGCTCACTATTTTAATGAAATCAACATCCTTACCTGTCAAAATCAAGTTACAATAAGGGCTTCCCATCCCAGAGATTTTTTTTACATTTTAATTTAGGTAAAGCTGAACTTGATCAGTTTATCTTCCCTGAAAGAATGGGATGCAAAATACAAATGTACTGCTGATTTTAAACCGGGCTGCTTGTCTACGACTGTAACTGCTTTCTATAGCTGGGATCATCTATATTTGGGATCATCAGGTAGGTGGAACACAGCTTCTCACCTATGAACCTTTCTGGAGTGATTTATGAGGACAGAAGGATAGTATAGCAGCTACAGGTGGAATTACACTGCATAAATTTTTTAAAAATCTGTTCAGAAGGCCTCTGAAGGTGACTGTTACCTTGAAATTATTAATACTGTTAGGTTTTAAGTTATTTTAAAAAAATCTGTATATATGTTGCTAGCCACCCGTACTTTCTTCTAGAAAGAAAGATGGGGTATTTAATTCATAACTATTGAATAACTTGATGTGCACACCAGTGTTCTCTCTAAGCTGAGTTAATGTGAGCTAGCTCACAGTTTTTTAGCCTCCAGCTCACA